TTTGATTGTTTTTGGGTGGTGGGGTGGAATCTTAGGGGGCTAATTATTATTGCTAAATTGTTATTGTCTTTGGTGCAGTTAGCCAGTTACTACTGATTTTGTTTATAAGGGGTATAATTATTATTATTGGTACTGTAAGTCTCTTTTTTTTTTTATAGGACTATAAATTCATTGTAATTCTTACTAAAATAAATTAACTACAATTCAAAAATATGTAACAAAACTAACAAAACCTAATATTAACTTAATTTCATCTAACAACAATTGTTAATATAATATCATAATAAGTTTTGCACCAAGCCTCATAAACAAGAAAACAGTTTGCATGACTAATGCACAACGGCCCCAACCTATTATTCCCTTTAAAAGATCCAATATTCTTAATTTATGAGTTTGCATGTATTCTTACAGATTGTTATTCAACCACGAATTATTGAATGACAACCAACGTGGGTGGTGTACCAGCCTCAATCCGAACATGAGACTGACCAAGTCTCTCAAAATCAGAAAAAAGAACAGGGAGCAAAAAGGAAGAGGATGAAAGAACGCTCTGAAGTTTGGGAGCACTTTGATAAAGAAGACTTACCTTCTGGAATGCAGGCAATTTGCAAGTATTGTGGGATGAGCTACAAGTGTGGGGCAAAGAAAAACGACACTAGTGTGTTATGGGCTCATATTTCGCGATGTCGTAAGTATCCCTTTAACACCCCTAAAGATTCAAAACAAAGTTTGCTTTCATTTAAAAGTGCTAAAGAACCAAGTGGTGGTACTAGTGGGTTGACATACCACAAATTTGATGCTGGTAGTATTAGAAAAGCTTTGTCATTTATGGTGATTGTTGATGAACTTCCATTTAAGTTTGTTGAAGGTATAGGTTTTAGACATTTTTGTGGTGTAATAGAGCCTAGATTTAATGTTCCTTCTCGAATTACAGTAGCCAAAGATTGTTTTGAAACATATTTAACTGAAAAACGAAAGCTGAAAAATGTGTTAAAAAGGTGTAATTCAAGAGTTTCTTTAACCACTGATACATGGACCTCTATACAACAAATCAATTACATGTGCTTGACTGTCCACTTTATTGATAATAATTGGAAATTACACAAAAGAATTCTGAATTTTTGTCCTATTTCTAGTCATAAGGGTGATGATATTGGCAAAGAAATTGAAAAGTGTTTGCTTGATTGGGGGCTTGAAAATGTCATGTGCATAACAGTTGATAATGCTAGCTCAAATGATACTGCAATTGGGTATATGAGAAGGAAAATAAATGGGTGGAAAACTGGGGTTCTTAAGGGTCGTTTCCTTCACATGCGTTGTGTTGCACACATTGTCAATTTGGTTGTTTCTGATGGGTTGAAAACTGTTAATGAGTCGGTTCAACGTGTTAGGCATGCTGTTAGGTTTATCAAACAATCTCCTGCTAGGTTGCAAAGGTTTAAAAAATGTGTCTTAGATGAAAAAATCAACACAAAAAAGGGATTGTGCCTTGATGTGCCTACTAGGTGGAACTCCACCTATTTGATGTTGAATGCTGCTATTGAGCTTCAAGATGCTTTTGAGAGGTATTCTGGGGAAGACCCTCACTATGTAGTTGATTTGAATGAGAGGGATGGTAAGGGTAGCCCAGATTCTGATGATTGGAATAATGTAAGAAGACTTTCTGAATTTCTACAAGCCTTTTATGATCTGACCTTGCATGTCTCTGGCTCTTTATATGTCAGTTTGAATTTGTTTTTTCATGAATTGGTGAGTGTTGTTGTACTTATAAAAGATTTGGTTTCAAGTGATGATGTGGATATGTGTCTTATGGCTTGTAGAATGAAAGAAAAATATGAAAAGTATTGGGGTGATCCAGAAAAAATAAACCTCCTGATTTTTATTGCCGTTGTCCTTGATCCTCGTTATAAGCTTGATTATGTTGAGTGGATGATAACTGAAATTTATGACCCTATTGTTGCATCAAAGTTAGTTGATTATGTGAAGGTAGCTTTGAATGCTTTGTATGAGGAGTATCGTGTTTCTTCTGGTAATGATGTGAATAGGGAGGAAGTGTCTTCAAGTAAGGATGGCAAAACTCCATTGAGTCCCAAACATAAAAAGATTGAAGTCTTAAAGAGTAAGTATAAGAAACACAAGTGTGAGAGAGATGGAGATGCAAAAATAGAGTTAGACAAATATTTGGAGGAGGATACAGCGGAGGATATTGATGAATTTGACATTTTGAGCTGGTGGAAGTTCAATTGTTCAAGGTTTCCTACTGTGGGGAGAATTGCCCGTGATGTTCTTGCTGTCCCTGTTTCGACAGTAGCTTCCGAGAGTGCATTCAGCACTGGGGGCAGGGTTCTAGATCAGTTTAGGAGCTCATTAACTCCTCGAGTTGTAGAAGGTCTTGTTTGTGCTCAAAATTGGTTACGTGCTTCACCATTTCCAAGTATTGAAGAATTTTTAGAGGAAGTTGAGCTTCTTGAAGAGGGTAATATATAAGAACATCTAATCATAAGTTACTTATTTTCATTATGTGTATATATTTTAACTTGGTTATTTTTGTTATGAATTATGATAGACTTGAAGAATATGGCAGTTGGTGATGCTGATATTGATGAAGTGCTTGAAATAATAGACTGATGTGGCTCTTTTCTCATTGCTGACTTGCTGTTGCCACTTGCCAGACTTGCTACTGCCTTGCTCTATCACTGCTACTGCCTTAGTCTATGCTGCTGAGTGCTGACCATCTTTTGCTGCTGACCTGCTGTTATGATGCTGCTTGTTGCTACTGCTGTTAAACAATTTTTTTACTGCCTTTTAGAACTTGGTCTATGCTGCTTGTTGCTACTGCTGTTAAACAATTGTTAAAGTTGTAATGTTAAACAATTTTATTTTTTTTTGGATGAAGTGTTGAACTTTTAAAACTTTGAATTATAACTTTGAAGTTTGAGAACTTGTTAATGTTGTTTAAATCTCATTAAGCATTTATGCTACTACATATGTTGATGAATATAATATTTATATGATTTAAGCCCACAAAAATTGCAGATTAAAGTCCAAATAAACAAGGCCCAAAAAAATTCGGTTTGGTTCGGTTTTTTCTTTTGAAACCGAAATTTATATGGTTTGGTTTGGTTTGGTTTGGTTTCAAAAGTAAAGTGGTGCGGTTTGGTTTCCAAAAACCAAAAACCGAATTAGGGTGGTTCGGTTTCGGTTTGGCCTATAAACCAAACCGAAAACCGAACTTTCACCCCTACTCATAGGTAAAGTCTAGTATATAATCATCATATTGTATCATTTTTGTTACTATTCCTCTCAATTTTGTAATTCCTTCTCACCGTTTCCATGTAAGATCCCGATTGTAACAACTTTTGTTGGTAGTGACTTAAGGCATTGATTTGGTAATCAAGAAATGCATTTATGTAGATTAGTCAAGAAACTAAGGGAGTAAGATTACAGTTGTGCCCCTGGAATCTTTGCATAATTACACTTGATCTCAAGGATTGACCTTCTATAGTCAACAAGATCCAACCCCCAATTATTATTATTATTTTTTTTAATAATAATGTTTTTTTTTTTTTGGAAAATTTAACATAAACAGACAAATTTTTAGGCGGTTCTCCCATATTAGACTAACCATTAAAACTGCCCATATTAGACACAAGTTTAACATTTTTCTCCATAAATAGACCAAACAGGTTACCTTACCTGTTATACCAGGTAAAATTCCACTTGTCATTAAATCATTGGTCAGTTTAATTTTTTTTTAATTTTATAATTTTGATAATTTTAACAAAAAAAAAAAAAAAAAAAAAAAAAACCAAAACCACCCTTTCCCACCACAGCCAGCCCCTTCCCCTACCAGTGGCGGCCAACCAATTCCTTCGGCGTCAGTGACCTTCAACGCCACCAGAATTATTGCCACCTACACCTTAACCTTCACAACCACCACTTCCACCCTCTACACCACCACCTATGTACACCACCCGCAACAGCCACCACATAAACCACCATACCAACAACCAAAACCATCGAAATCCCCATACCTACCAACCAAACCACCAAACCAACCCACCGTAAGCAGCACCTCAACACACTAAAAACCCACGCAACTCCGATCCCCTGCTCCCGCACCTAAACAAAGCAGCCCGCAGTCCGCACCAACCACCTAACACCACCGCCCAACTGTCCTACCTCTTACCTTCAATTATTACTTCATCAAAATAAGCCACCAAACGCTGCACTTCACCCTCACCGCCACAAATCCGGCCAACATATCAACCCGCATCAAACTTCAGCGATTTAGGGTGGTTTCAGCGATTTTGGGTGGGGGAAAGAGGAGGAAAAGGAGGGGGGTAGGGTCATCGGCGCTTGGGGTGGAATGGGAGCCAGACGCCGGCAGGGGTATGGAGGGGGTAGTGGCTGGCAGTGGGTTGGGAAGGAGGGCTGCGGTAGTTTTAGTTATATTTTTGTTTTTTTTTTTATTTTGTTAATTTTTTAATTTAAAAAGATAATAAAATAAAAAAATGACCAGTTGTTCAAGTCACAAGTCATCTTGGTTTAATATGGGAGAAAAAATACAAACTTGTGTCTAATATAGGCAAATTTAAAGGTTAGTCCAACATGGGAGAACCGCCCAAAGGTTTGTCTATTTATGTTAAATTTTCCTTTTTTTTTTGGCCAACTAAAAAGGAGATTCCTCATTCACACTGAAAATCTCTCTCTTCTCTTTTCCTTTTGGGGTTTCAGAAGTGCGCTTCATAATCTGCATCATCAGCATATCACTATCAAAACTCATAAAAATCTGAATTGATAGGACTTAAATACTAGTTCCTCAATATGATAACACCTATCTTGTTCAGTGTACGTTAAAGATTTTTTTTTCTGTTCATTTTATCAGTTTTGCTCGCTAGAAGAATTTTAAATGAACAAAACTAATAAAATGGGTAAAAAAAAAAAATCCTTCATAGGTATTAGGTACACAAAAACAACTAGAAATTTTGAGACAAGCATGTAAAAATATCATTTTCCCATATATTGCATGCACAACAAAACCATATACAAGCAAATCATAGTCAGCAGGATGCATGTCTTTGGCCAAGAACCTTTCCACCTCTCCATCCAAAAAAGAGAAGAAAAAGAAACATACTATCTTGAGCAATGGCACTACATCTTCCCCCCTCTCCTACCTTTACATATGAAAGTACTTTCTCTGAGGCTAATTGACTAATCCTAATCGTCTCTACTCTCTGTCTCTATCTCCTTCACGGCTTCATCCATCCGTAGCTTTTTTCTTCCCTGCTACTTAAGCTTACATGAACTATACATCAAGTCAGAATTCAGTAGGTAATGGTAATGCTTTACATGTAAAATACAGTTGTCTAGTGTATATGTACAGATTCCGAGGCATGCCTTTAGGCAAAAAGATGATGGTACTCATCATTCCCAGCCCATTAATGTGTTCCATACTCTCTCTTCAATGTTATTCCTAGAAACTGATAAGCAGTCCCCTTCCTGAAGCAAGAACCGGTATACTTCACATTCACGATGTCCAATGACGTGCCTCACGATCTCAGCCTGGAAAATTGCAAGTAAATGCTTGTCAGTTCTGAATATGGTATATGAAGTAAAAACAGAAGTGTTGATAATCTTTTGCTATAAACTTCAGATGTATGAACAAGAAATTGATATGATCAAAGCGAGTACCGAGAAGATGCATAAATTCAGCATTTTCAGAGCAAGGGTTACATCATAGAAGACTCCAGGCCTCCCCCTTCCAGATATCTCCACTGGATTTGCAACCAGTAACTCCGTATCAGGGCCACGGCTGACAACAGTAACTCTAAGTGGTCGAGCTAGTTCTATTAATAGACGAGACCGCAAAGCGTTTTGCTTGCTAGGGTCAACTATCTTCTTTCCATCAGCTTGCATGATGAATAAATCAATCTCGCAGTTCTTTTTCTGCTTCATGGTGCCTCGCCCATAAGAGATCTATTAACAAAAAAAAAATTATACTGTTATACATCCATCACTAATTTTCAAAATTACTCTAGCTCCAATCCAATTTGTTATATACTCCCTGCAGTCCATTACATGATCTATATCTGTTGTTTAAAAGAAATAACAGACACTAAATCTTTTATTTTAGATTTAAAAGATATATCAGCAATATTGCATACTCAAACAAAATTATGGCATGTTAATATCTCTATATAACATATAATATGAATTGAGAAAAGTTAGCTAAGTTGTCACAACTCACAATATTTATTTACAAGGAGTAAGAAGCATTTGTTTTACCTGGATGTTATAATCCTTGAATGTACGCACCAGGTCATAAAGAAGACCTCTATAATCTTGGCAAGCAATTTGGACAAGAGTGTGAGAAGGACTAAGAGTATTATCTATTGTGACGGATGCACAGTTGGAAAGACCAGTTCCATTACAGTATTTATCGGGTATGTCAGAGTTAAAAGTGTCGTCTGTGATTGCAGAAGGAAGAAGCGGAGATGCTTGTGAGCAGGCAGTAACTTCTAAGCCGACCTTTTCAATGTCACACATCACATCATCTCCAAGATTCTCTCTTAAATGCTCTTTGGTATCCTCTTGTCTCTTTTTGGTATGCAGCAGTTCCCTGTACATTTGTTTACAATAAAGTTTGCTTTGATTACTTGAGCTCCACAGATAAACAAGATAGTCACTAGCTTTTAAACATATGTTATATAAATGGTAGTTGTAATAATGTCAGTAGAATAATGGTAGTTATTGAGTAATAAATCAGTAAAAACAACAGCAGATAATTTATGACCTGTAAGATTATTTAGGCAGAGTACACACTAAAATTACACAAAATGAAGTGAAGTCTTCCAAACCTGGTATCTGTAATAACAAAGAGGTCCAACACTTTCCCATCTGGAGTTGTGGATACCTTTACTCTCAGTATATTGAGCTCGAGCTCACACAAAACCTCAGTGACATCTTCCATGAAACAAAAAAGATACAAATGTCAGAGAATAGCACCACTTACGACAGAACAATAATTCAATTTACCATCAGAATAGTGAGAACACCATTGAACTAACACTTTTAAGTAGACATCTATTATACTGTATGTGCACATTTACACAAAAAATAATAATAATAATAATCGCTTTCATGATATTTACCACAACTTCCCTTCCCAACAAGTATCTCTATATCAGAGCCACAAGGACATTACAAATAACATATGGGAGAGTGGGGATTTAAACCTACCACCTATCGTACACAAGTCTTCGGCCTTTCCCACTAGGCCAAGACCTCATAAGCCTATGACCTCTAGAATCCATATTGATTAGACATTGTGCCTTATGGAAAAGCTCATACTATGCATTTTAATGCAACAAAATCAAGAAGTAAGGTTGGAAACCAAGAATCCAACTTAAACTGAAATACTTGACCAACTGGACCATTGATCTCCAAATTGAAAATTAGGACTCCTATATTGTGTTAGAGCAAAAATATCTTAAAAGGCTGTGATCATCGCTTTTTTTTGCTCTAAATCTCAAGCATATGTAGATAATACAAACTAAGGACCCATGACTCTATCCATGATCCACCTAGCAACAACACAATTACACAAACATAGCACAAAAGTTACAAAGAAACAGAATAAAAGCGGAAAAAAATTGCTCGAAGCAAAATATGAAGATGTACCATGTAAAAGCCCTCTTCTATCATGGCAGCATAACTTCAATAAGAAAACATCAGGAGGTTTAGGAGGCTGCAACAACTCAGCTCTGTAATAAGAAATCCCAGAAGCTGAAAAACAAGAAGGGCATGCTGCAACCAATCTCTTCTTCACCAAACCCCACTTTATTGTTGGTTTCCCCTTCACCCATAACACTACGTAGCACCATTTCCCATCTGTTGCAAAATCTTCATCAAAAAATAATAAAGATTAATTAGAAACCCAAAATAAAACTTTGATTGATCTAGCAACCAAAAAAAACAACAAATTAACATTTTCTAATAAAAAACCCTAAAAAATATTCATTTGCACTATTTAATTGGAAATTAGAAATATTCATTTTCTGAATCAGAAATGCCCAACATGCAATGTATTTATTTGACATTTCAAAACACTTACAAACTGAAAAAAGTCCCAATGTTTTTTTCCTAAATAAAAATACAAAATCCACCCCCCCCCCCCCAAAAAAAAATAAAAAAAAAATAAAAATCAAGCTATAAATTACCCATGAAGCAATTTACTAAATATGATCCAAAAACCACAAGATTTAACCAACTTAAGACAATATTAAAGATTATAAAACATTAAAAAAAAACAAAAAAAAATCCCTTCATTTTTATTAAGGTTTTAAGGACTCACCAACTCTGGTAATACAGAATCCAAAGAAGAGGAGGATGCGGCAAAGATCACAACCTAAACCAAGTTTATCAGGGCAATTAACAGTAATTATAGTTGGGTCTCCTTCTTTCTCTGGTGCCTTAAAAATCACAACATCATCTTGCAATATACCCATAATTTTCTCTCACTATTAAAAATTAAATTATTAAGTATTACAGCAAAAAAATATAAATCTCTTAATTAATGGGTTAATACATAAGTAATCAAAAACTTAATTAAGATAAAAGATAGAGAAGATAACATAAAAGTTGTCTATTTTGAGAGAAGCCTATTAGCCTAAGAGAGAGGGGGGCTGCAAATGAGGAAACAAACATGTGCTGTAAACTTGTAGGGATCATAGAGAAGAGAAAGAGAAAGGCAGAAAGTGGGCTGCTACTTTTTCTTGTAATTTACTTAGTTTAATCTTTGAAGCTTGCTTGATTGTGACACTCTCTATGTTTACTTGAATTAGTGTTGTTCCATTTTCAAAATTTGAATATTCAGAAATGATTTGGTCTGAATTTTTTTTTTTGGGAAATTTGACATTTGGTATCAGGAAAAGCTCCTTGCTTCACATTTGCTATCCCTTGATTTTTTTTTTTTTTTTTTTTTTTGTACCAATCAAACACATGAACTGTTAGATTAACTACCACCGACGTTATTCTGTTACTGTTTCTGTGAAGTGGGGTCCACTCCAACGGCTACTTCGTTTTTCTTCCCATTTAAATACGATTCTTTATGCTTTGCCTTAATTGCAATCGTTCTGGTATCAATTGGAGCAAATTAATACACAAATTCTTCAAATTGTAACACAAATTCAATCAAACAATCAAAAGCAAATTCAGTGAGTGTGGTTTATTGGTGATTGCTGGGTTGAATAGGGAAGAATTGTGCAGCGGAAAAGGTTAGTTATTTGGTTTAATCGAACAATTTAGGCCAGTAATCTTCAGTTATATGATTAATTAGAAACTTTATTTGTACATAGGAATGGTGTGTTGGCTTTAATTGAATTGTAGTGGGTGTAATTTGATACTTAATTTCTGGAAAATAAATTAGGGTTCTTGAGAGTATTGTTAAATTGGGGCTTTTTAATTGGGTGTGTTAATCATGAAATTGAAAGTGTTGGTGGGTAATTATAGTATTTAATGTATCCTTAATGTTGTGAATATGCAGTGAATTATGGCTTTGGTTAGGTGCTCACCCTCAAAATACAAGAAGTGTGACTGAGGTATTCCCATGGCTAGGCTAACTTCATAGACAAGAGAGAATCCAGGCAAAAAGTTTTTGAGTTACAAATTCTATGATCCCAAAACTGAAACAAGGGGCTGCAAGAGCTTTGATTGGGTGGATGTAGATGATGGGACTGATTGGCAAAGGGATGTGATCAACCAATTGATCCTTGACAAAAACCTCATGAAGGGTGAGATAAGCTCACTGCAAAGAAAAGTGGAGGATCTTACTGGACAAAGAAGGTGCCTCCTGATTGAGAATGACAACTTGAAGCTAAAGTGCAAAGCTCTCAATGGTGACAGGAAGAGGTACTCTAAAGAAGGGCAGCAGAAGAAGAAATGGTTTGGGTGTGTAGCTGTGGGTGTTGTCATTTGTTGTGTTTTGATGATGTTAGGGATGATGTTAGTTGTGCTGAAGTAAGCATAGGATTGTTGTGCTTAAGTAAGCTTAGGTTTAGTTGTGCTTAAGTAAGCTTAGGTTAGTTGTGCTAATGTAAGCTTAGGTTAGTTGTGCTAATGTAAGCTTAGGTTTGTTGCTGTTAGTTGTTGTTAGTTGTGGTTATGTCACTACTAAAATTCGGCCAAATTGCGACCGTCTCTGACGGTCGCATATTATAGTAAAAACGACCGCAATTAGTAATTGCGACCGTCAATGGTCTTAAGGTGGTGGTCGTTATTCACGTGGTCGCAGAAAATCTTTATTGCGATCGTTTTATTATTTTCAACGACTGTTTAGAAAACGGTCGCAAAAATTAAAAATTGCGACTGGTTATGTCAGCAGTCGCAATTTTTGGAATTAGCGACCGCCATAAGCCGTCGCTAATTTTTTTTTTAAAAAAAGAAAATTCGCACTGCTGTGTTTTGCATCCAGCCTCACCAACCACCGAAACTACCTTTAACCACCACCACAACCCAAACCCACCTTTACCCACCACTTCTGCCCACCCTAACCACGAAAACCCACCGCCGCTCACCTGAAACCACCTAATCCACCACCACCGCCAACCCAAACCACTTTTACCCACCACAACTCCTCACCCTAACCAATAAATCAACTACCGCTCACCTGAAACCACCTCAACCCAACGCCACTCACCTAAAACCACCTCAACCCAACGCCGCTCAGTCGAAACCACCTCAACACCACTAACCCGAAACCACCTCAACCCAACGCCGCCCACAAAAATTATAAAAAAATTAATAAAATTACCCACAAAATCAGAAAATAAAATTATACAAATTACAGAAATTTACCCAAAAATCATAAATAAAACAATAATATAGATCTTTCAAAAATTATAAACTAAAATTACAATAAACAACACAAAGCAGAAATAAAACAATAATATAGATCTTTCAAAATTAAAAACTAAAATTACAATAAAACAATTATACATAATCATAAATAAGAAACAATAAATCTAGATCAACAATATAACCTAAATTAATTATCAGATCTAGATAACCTTGAATTCTCTTAGGCTTGTTCTTGTGACGGTGGAGGTCTTGTTACAGTGTGTGGTCGTGACGGTGGCAAGCAGCGTGGAGGAGAGGGAAATTGACGGCGAAGCTTCCGATTTGAGCCAAATCTTGAATGAGCAGCGATTTCCAGCTTCTTATTCTTCAATTCTCAAGTGCTTTGCTTCATTTTCGGAAGTGAAAGAGGAGAATTAGGAGGTGAGAGTGAAAGAGGAGGGGCGTGAGAAGGATAGAGTGGAGATAAGGAAAATGGAAGAAGAGGGTCAACTGAGAAGAGAGAGAGAGGGGGGGGGGGAGCAGCTGTTAACAAAAAAAAATTAGGGTTAGTTTGGTGGGAAGCTTAAGCCCCTTATATACCCTATTTTAAAAATTAATAAACAAACAATTACGACCGCTAAAACGGTCACAAATTGTTATAATTTGTGACCGCCTTATAAACGGTCGCAAATATTATAATCTATGACCGCCTTAAGAACGGTCGCAAATTGCGACCGTTTCTATAACGGTCGTAATGTTCGCAATTTGCGACCGTTTTTGGCGGTCGTAATAGAATTGTTTTTATTTAGAATTATTTTTAACATGTATATTATTTTAAAGAAATTTTTAAATAACTTTGCGACTGTTAAATAGCCTAAAAACGGTCGCAAATCTGCGACCGCCTTAAAAACTCTCGCAAATATTATAATTTGCGACCGTTTTAATGACAGTCGTAAAAAAATCGGTCGCAATTTGACCGAATTTTAGTAGTGTGTAACCTTAAGCTGAACTATAGTGGACTCCTTCAAATTGTAACAACTATGGCTATGAATAAATAATGCAACAATTATTTATGGGACAACTGACTTAATTTCATATCATTGCAATGTAAAGTTGTGCAATTGTTCCAAAATCTAGCAGAAATAATATAATAATTCATTACAGACAGAAGTTGATACTACAAATTGTTCATTCACTAAAACACAAGCTACAAAGGGTACATAATTGAACTAAACAACTTTGCTCTTGCCCTTTGCTCCTTTCTTTACTGGTAGTGTTGCTGTTGTTGTAGATGCTTGAGATTGCTGAGTGGATACATTAGATGGTTGCTGCTGGTTTTGCTCTTGTGGGAATGACCTATTTGCAATGCTCCATGGCCCTGCACCAGCTGCAGTCTGTATGGCAATAAGAATACAAACTGAGATACATATATTTGACATAAATAAACATGACAAAACAAGATAGGACTTAAAAAACAAGCTTACATTATGTGCAGCTCTTTGTGCCTTTTTTCTCCTTTGTTCCTGACCCCATGGTGTATTTAGGACAGGTTTAGTTGATAACTTTGGCTCAGAAGTTGCAGCTTCAGTCTTAGGTTCATTCCCACAGGTCTTTGCATAATGACCAAGCTGACCACAGTTTCTGAACCTTTTTTGAAATTTAGGTGCTTTTGGTTGAGGCTCTTTGTTGCCAGATGCACACTCTCCCTTTTCTAGCTTCCTTTTCTTTGATTTTGGCCTGCATGACATAACCTGGAGGGGGGACTGGTTGTCTGAGGTCCACCCTTTCCCAATGCTTGGGTCCTGGCATAGGGTTAATTGCAGCCTCATAGGCTAGAACATAGGTGGCCCTACTGTAGTAAGCATCCATATAGTCATTTGGGTCCACTCTTTTATCTAATGTACATGCAAATGCATGTACACATGGGATCCTAGTTAACTGCCAGTGGTAACAAGAGCACTGCCTAAGTCCTAGGTCAACTGTGACTTGGTCCCCATTCAATTTCACCTCATAGCTGTCCCCCCTTGAAATCTGGACTATGCAATATCTTGCTGCCTTTTCTATCCTACCAAACACCTTACCCACAGATGACATGTTCTTCCCATCTACTTTTTGAACTCCCTCCCATTTCTCACAGTTCCTCTTCATCATGTAATTCCTTAACCACTCCATCTGAGTGAGAATGGGTTTATCCCTTTCATCTTTTATAACAGCATTAAATGTTTCACAAAGATAGTTCAAAAGCATATTGGACTTGCAAAAATCATCAAAGGCATGTCTTGACCAGTGTTTGGCAGGAATATTTGCTAGGTACTCAAAAGCATCTTCTGATAAGAACTTTATAGACTCCATGGCAACCTCAAAATCAAACTACAATACATAAACAAACAAAAATAGTTCACAACTAGACTAAGAACACAAAACATGATATAATTGGAAGAATTTACACAAGGATCTACAGACTCACCAAAGTAGTTTCTCTGGCTGCATTCCAGAAAAGCTCCTTGAGAGTAGAACCAGTGAATTGGAGCTTAAAGTTAGCCCAAATATGCCTTACACAATATCTCTTCTCAGCTAATGAAACAAGATCATAAAAGGCTTTTAGTAGCCCCTACAAAATCAAACAAAACAGTTAGTCACAATCAACTATAAGAAGTTAAAAAAGAAAATTAAAAGGTGTAATGCATGAGTGGAGTGTAAATAACATCACCTTATGTCTTTCACTCATGAAAGTGAGCCCTAAGCCACCACTGACATCACCCACATCCTTCCTCAAGCATTCCATAAACCAGCCCCAGGTTTCTTTGTTTTCCACCTCAACTGTTGCCCAAGCAAAGGGAAATATCTGATTATTCCCATCCCTACCTACAACAACCAGTATCTGACCTGGGTAGGCCCCTTTTAAATGAAAACCATCAAGGCCTATGAGAGGCCTACAACCTTTGTTAAACCCATTTTTCAAAGCTGCCAGATAGGTGTACATCCTCAAGAAAA